CGTCTTGTAACTGGAAGGTCTTGGGTTCAAACCGTGGCAGTAGGTGCGTACTGCCGATGAGTCCCAAAGAAGAAGGATGAAACAGCCTGTTGTGCAGTACTTTCTAGGTGGGGGGGGGTCAATGATTCTCTAACTGATATCGATCCGAATAAAAAACAACTGTAGGAGTGGGTTTTTTTGTGCAAAAAATTCAAGGACATAACTAAATTGATTATAGACTGCAGATAGTGAGTTTTATTCTGCAGACAGTAGCAGTTTGTACTTTTTAAAAATGTCAGGAATTGTAGTTATCTGTCATGTATATTTATAATTTTTATTCCTTTATGTTCCCAGTGGAAGATAGGGCTTTACATTCTAAGGGATGGGGTTGCTAACCAGCCTTATGCCTACTGAAGACGTATCTTTGATGATTATCCAGCAGAGTTATAAAGAAGACACAGTGTAAGACAACTATATTGTTGAATTCTTGAGTACCTAGTGAATTCAGGCCACTCATCTCTACTAGAATCGTCTTTTAGAATGCTTAACAAAGTAAGATTAAATTTTACGATAGATTTTATGTTTAAACATTTGTGTATGATTAGGAAAATAAAATTTATTGGCAACACTAAGTTCTTATTGATCTTATGAATATATATATATATATATATATATATATATATATAGATGTTCCCTTGAGTTCCAAGTGGACCATACCACATCAACAACACATCTCCACTGTCTTCTCTTTTCTGCCGTCCTCTTCACCTCGATCCATAAATGCCCATAATCTCTCATCCCCTCGATGCCACCCTAGGACGACTCACTCGTCGCTTTCCATTTACATTATAATCGAGAGATAGCCTGCATTGTGTGCGACCTTATTCGACGATCTCCTCAGTGGCGTGTGCCCAATCCATTCATCTCCATTTTAGTCTACATATTTGTTGAGAGATAAATCGGCTCTCGCCTGTTGGTTTGTTCCACTGCAGAGTTTCTTGCTGCTGATTCTTTCTGACTGGCTGTTTGATTCTTCAGGATGGAACCAGCCAGCGAATGCGGCAGCTGTTGATGAAAGTCTCCTGTAGCCTGTTGGAAATCCTTTTTATGACATGCAGCGCAAGTTTCTGACCCATATAAAAGAATTCACTGACTGACTGCCTTCATTGACATTTGTCTTGAAAATCCCAATTTTGTTCTTTATGCTGTGCTGGAGTGCAGAGGATTTCCAAACTGGTTTCAGGTTGATGAAAGCGTCTATTTTGCCTTTCCGATTATGGATTGCTGGCTGCCTGGCTGACTTTGATATCTTTATCCGTTCCGACTGCCTGTAGTTAATCGATGCTTCCTAGATAAGTGATGGAGGTAACTTCTGTTATGTCTCTCCGCTTGATGGTGATTGGTGCTGGTTGTTGTTGCTGTTGCAGTTCGCTGGTTAACTTCATCACCTCAGTCTTCTCTATGTTCACCTGGAGACCTGTCATATATATAAAATCACATTCCTACTATCAAGGAGTCAAACGTGTGATCGATTGAAGAATTACATGACAGGGGTTTCATTCTCATCATGGGCATCATTTCCTTACTGATAAGTGCGAATAAGAACGAAATCCACATCCATAAATCCATCTACCTTACTATTTTACTATATATATATATATATATATAGTAGTTCATCAGCCCATTTTTTATATAGTCCTATTTCAACACCATATCAAACAACTCATTGTTTAAACAACAGTAAGCTCCGTAAAGAGTTAAAGCTTTGGTAGCGGGCTAACAACTCCATCCACCAACCCCACCCCCACCTCACAGCTCAAACTTGAATGAGGCTGTTATATTCCAATCTACCTATTATTGGTAACTATAAGGCGTCTAATTTACAACAACAAAAAATAAAGTGCGTCGGTGGCACAGCGTTTAGGACGCTCGCCGACCATGCCACATGTATGTGGTTCGGAGTTCAGCACCCTGGCCACAGACGCACTCCTTTACTACCTCGTCATAAGCCAGATATATATAAAAGCTGATAAAGAGGAAAGGTTGGACATGAGGCTGGCTAACAATCCCAGAACGTGAAGGAATACGAAAAAAAACTCATACTTAGAATAGTAAGGCAAAAAAAATCTCAATTCGAAAATATCAACAAGAAGCAATCATCAGTAAATGTCGCAGCATAAAATATCTATTGCTTTCGTTGCCTTGTCAACAGATTAGCGAATTACATCATAACATTTTTTTTGAGATAATTAAGAGATACATTCGAATCTATTTGGAAAGAAAGAAAAAATCCGAAAAATTAGACGAATTCAGTGCTACTATACGGATCAGAGACTTGGCGCTGCACCGCGTCACGCTGTGTCACGAAGGCCACTTCGAACAAACTACACACCTTCATCAACCGCTGTCATGAAAAGCTCAATACTAGTCAAGATCAGATGGCCGTCCAGAAAATATCAGCAACAGGGAGGGAGGGATCTCTGGCAATGAACGAACCAACCAACCAACTGGACAATACGACAGATAGACAGCGTCGGGCCGGGCAACGAAGAGACAGGCATAAAATGGACCCATACCAAAAACAATTGGACGATCTGCATTTCTCCGACGATACATATATGTGCACGACTGATTTCCCTCCAACAAACTGGAAAATATGGAAATGAAAAGCAACAAGTTGGTGATAGAAGAAGAAGAAGCATCAAAGATAGGACAAAAGTAGGTCAACATAGAGAAAACAGAGCTGACGAAGATTCTTGGCCGACAGCTACAACAATAGACGGCAGACAATCAGCATCAATGGAAGAAATGTGAAAGAAGCAACCTCCGTTACCTACCTGGGAAGCATCGTTTCAACTACAGGAGGACGGAAATTATGAGGGAGGATATGAAAGCGAGGATCCGGAAAGCAAGACAAGCTTTCATTACTCTCAAGTCTGTGTGGAGATGAACAGGACTGACTCAGCGCTCAGCATGAAAACATAATCCGGCTTTTTGACCCCAATATGAACAAACTTCAGACCTTCATCATCATTAACAGCTGCAAATCTTTGCTCAATACTACTTAAGATCAAACATCATCAACAGGGAGGGAGGGAGGTATCTCTGGCAATGAACGAACCAACCAACCCAGCAGGAAGCAATTGTACTGTACAACAAATATGCAGGAAGGAATGGAAGGTGGTGAATTGGTCATACCCTGAGAAAACAAACCATCGTCAAGCGAGTGACATCCATCACATGCCAGGCCATCGCTCCAGTGGAACCCATCGGAATAGGAAGCGAGCGGCGAGTCAATTGGTCGTCAGTGCGAGGGTGACATGGAAGAGGAGGAGGTGGTGCGAAGAGGAGATGACGAAAGGATGTGGACAGAACTGATGATGAAAACATTGGTGGAGAAACCAAGGCGATGGAGACGTGCGGCTGAAGCCTTATGTTCCTCTAGGAACTAAAGGTAATAGTAACAAATAATAATTAATGAATTGAATTTCTGAAGAGAGACACTCGAAGGCAACACCAGCCAAAGTAGAGCGAGCGATAATTTACCAGGTTGTGTGTATGAACTATTCATATTTGAAGTCAAGACTTGAAGTAGGGTGGCAGTAAGTTTTGAAATCAGAATGCCTGTCGTAAACTTAAAGATGTTGTCTTGGAGGATTTCATCATGACCTGTCAAGGAGTACTGGACAGCTGTTCATATCGTCCGCCTATTTTTGGGACTCTTCATCAGTACGCACATGGCCTTCAGGTTTCAAACTCAGGACCTTTTGGTTACAAGGCCAACTAGCTCGTAGACCATTAAGCCACTCTCTGGGACCTGATCCAGTGACCAGCCAACCAGCCAGCCAATGAATTCTAACTTCTGCCAAACTCCAGTGAGTAACTGTCCTCACCTGTTTCAACCTGCTGTACCCTACCGGTCACAGTATCCCACTAGGAAGAACCCCAGGTAACTGCTTACTTGAATAGGACCAGTCCCTAGTGAATAACAGATTAATTTTCAAGTATTTGGTTTTTCGTGGGGATTTTCGCTTGATTTGTTGAAGCCAGCAGTTGAACTATATCTCTACTAGATCTCAAAATAACTCTATCAATCTACCTATCTAATGACATCACAGATATAAGCTCATCATGGTGATCATCTCCAAAGGAACAAGATAATAACTATTACAATTACAAACTAACAACGTCAACCATAACAACAAACAATGGACATGCTAACATGATAGTCAATAATAAAAACACAACTCTAAGACCACCACCACCCTTCAGTGGACAACCAACATAGAATGAATACTATTGGTGGAAATTTTTTGGTTAGGCCTGTCTAGCCAATCTCTACATATAGGTCTTGGTAACTAACTAACTACATTACAAAAACATTACAAACTTTAAGCTTCAAAACTAAAATAGAGACACATACACAAACACACATACTTACACAAATCTGATTGGTTCTTATCTAGTCATAAATTGACTAGCAGAAAAATTTATGTTTAAGGTTCCCCTGTTATCTCCTATTTGCTTTTTTTCTATTGGTTATCTACTGACCCGACTGTGTATTGAAGAATTTAACGCATTGGTTTGTGAATGGTTGAATTAAAATAAATATACACAGAGATGGTGGTGGTGGTGGTGAGGAGGAGGTGATGTTGCTTATATAAAATAGAAAGGGGTAGAAATACTTTTTGTTTGCTTGTTTTATTTTGTTTTTGAAATTCATAGGCTAGAGGAGGATGTTGTTATATGAACTCTCTCTCAGTGTCATTTAAACAGTAGGGACGTTCGAGTACACATCGTATACTACACTCTTGGATTTTTTATGATATATATTATCGGATTATATACTGTGGAGAAATAATAATTATAATTGAACTTTATGGTTTAATTCCAAAAATAAATAAACTATTTAGACAAACACTTTTGTGAATACTGATCATTGTGGATTATATCTCTATATCTCTTTGTATATACATATATTGACTATTGAATCATTGTCACTAATTATTGAGTGGATCAGTATGCATAAAGGTCGATCACGTACCTCTGATGTATACAGAGTTGAACATCTCGTGGATAAACGAATACGTGGGGTAAGTATTGATTGGTATTGAATGATTTCTGAGGAGAGTCATTATATATACACACATGTAATTATATATAATAAGGATAATCTTATCCTTAGACGGTGACTTTAAACTATAGCAGCCCAAAACGAAGCTGACCTAATAAACAAACTGGTGACCTTGACTGATTTATTTAATTTACATAAATTAGCTTAACCTAACTAACTATGAAGACTTCTGTGAGATACTGGGAGGTTTGTTTGTCGAACATATATGCATAAGAATGGTATCCTATGTAACCATTCTTTTTTTAAACACTGTATTACTTGTATATAAAGACGTTTGTTTATTATTTCCAATTGTGCACTTTACTTCTTACGCATCTGATTGGCAGCTAGAGGTAGTTTTTGGCTTTGGGCTGTTATAGTTTAAACTCACCTACTTGACTAGTACCTATGGTATTATATCATATTCACAGAGATTGAGTTATTTTCCACACTTCTATGAAATAAAATGTTACCAATAAGTCACACTGAGACACTGATGTAACTGCATAGTAATCTATGGGGTATATTATATAATTAGACGACAGCTTTACAAGCCCTTTTCTATTATAACACGAATTAGGGCTCAGCCATTACAAATTCTTGATCTATGTTAAATTATAGTAACCATCCCGGCCAACTTGACCATTGACTCAAGACAATTAAGGTGCAACAAAAGTCGAGGAATTATGGTGTTCTGTAATCCGTTTAAACTTCTGACTCCTTTGCATATGCATGATTTGGTACTCTGTTATTAATCCACTATTTCAACAGTCGATCTCCGTGAAACTTATTAAGCCTATTCAAAACAGACTGTACAATTTGATTTCGCTGTACCACCTGTATCTTTCTCCCTCTCTCTCTCTCTCTACAACTAGTGTGAACACGAGCAGTAATTTTGCTCGAAATATTACCAATAACAAAACTTATCATTGTGTGTAAACTTTTGAAATATAATTATACTTTATTTGGTAGTCAAAGGTTATGCAATGGAGTGACTGTTATATATTTCAGCCTTCATTCGATATTGAAATGATCGCCTTTACTAGTTACTATTAGATGAATTCACTAATGATGTAAAGGGGCATTCATCCTCAGGCATTATTCACCTCAAAAGTTTTAGTTAACTAACATATTGTATTACTGATCTCAACCCACTAATCCTTCGGCAAATCCAATGCCCTTTAGTCTCACCTTCACAAAAAATCAGGTCAGACTGAAGTCGTGGGTTAGTGACTCAACAACTCAACCTTCATTCACCGTGTTTTGGAGTCAAATCCTGTATTTTTCTATTCCATAACCCTATTAAACGTTAAAATGTATAAACTGTGACAACAGAAAACATTCTTTGTTCAGACCAACAGGGATCAATTGGGTGGTAGGCACAGGAGTAGTGTCATCAGACAACACACGATAATTACAGTTGATATCTGCCTGGTACAATGGAAGCCCATTTTATGTAGTTAACAAATAATCCCTGAAAGATTCCCACCTTAGTAACAAGTCATTTTCGCCTCTATTATAAATTTATCTACTACTGAAACATTTAGAAACATTATCAGGTAAAAAACAACATATTTCTACAACTTTTGATATGCTTACTTAAATCTTCTCAAATTTGACTTGACTAGCTGTGCGAGTTAACCTGACTTTTCATTTTTTCATGGGGTTTTCTTTATTCTTTCTTTCTTTTAGAATCGTACAGAATATCTAGTAAAATGGAAAAATTGGTCTGATGAGTAAGTTGCTAGGTTTTATATACACAAACCTTATCACATTTCTTAAATTTCTACATATATATTATATTTATTCTCATTTTATGGCATATATTTTTTTATCGTTAATAATCCAACTAACATTGAATTCCTTGATCTTGAATTTCAATTGTCAGTTAAAACAATTTATTATTTAGTTTTTAGTTATTGAGAAAACTTATAGTTAAAATATTGGTAAGAATAATTTCTAAGCTAAAATGCATGCAGTATTCTGACTGTCTGCCCGCGTCTATACTAAACTATATACAACTAACTAAATAGCAAGCTTACTAGCTATCTGGTCGATACTTCTTTCTGATTGGTTAATTTCGCCTATGCATTGATCTATTCTGACGACCTTCATGTATGCCTGATTTTTTCTACCCTCAGTTATATATATTTGGTTTGACCTTACGGCCTAGCCTAGAAAATAAGAAATGAACTAGTCTCTAGCGTGTTATATGTAACAGAATGACCTTGGGTGTGTTTTTTATATTGTCAAATACAGCTGTTCTGTGGTGTGTTCATGCTTGCTTAGCATGCATTATATATGTTACCTTTTAGAAGATCAGATCCTACAGGCGACGATAAAATGAATGGGTCATTTTATTGTCGGCAGTTAAAATCAGATTAGCTGTATTCTGTCTGTAGAAGACAGAATTTTACAGAATGGGTTAGAGAAAAATATATACTAGGCAGCTGCATCGTCTCGCAACCTAAGATAACAATGTATTCATGTACCTATGGCCATATCGCTCATAAACAAGATGTATAGTTTAGTGAGATTGGGCTAAAATACACGGCTGTTTTTTATTTCTCAGCATAGTCTAAAATATTGATCGATAGATCTATCGATCTTTATACTTAGTGGTCTTCGTGAAGTTCGCCATAGTAATAGTTAAAAATCTTTGACATTTTCGATACTTGTTATAACTATGATTTAAATGTCTGATTGCCAACTGATCTGTTAGGAAATAAAGGTCAACTCTCAGGCTTTTGGAATAAATTGGGTATAAACCTATTTCAGAGTAGCATCTATTGATGATGTCCGTCTTTGAAGTATTGTGTTCGTCTCCTTCGGGTTGAATGACAGACCTTATCATAAACTGTCAGATGATTGTTGGATATGACGAATTCCATTTCACGGCAGGTCATAAATGATAGGCATTTCATGACTGTTCAGCTTTGAATATGAGTTTTACTTGAATGAGGTCTCATTGGTCAATTTGCGTAACAGATATTCTTTATTTTCAAGTGTTGGTTTGTTGGGATTTGATTGGTTACAGGATTTCATCATGAGCTGACATTAGTTAGAGAACTATTGGAAAACCTGTGAGTACTGGACAGCTGTTTCGTCCCAGTTTGGGACTCTTCAGCAGTACGCACCCACCGGGATTCGAACCTAGGACCTTCTGGTTACAAGGCGAGCTCGTATACCATTAAGCCACTGGGACCAGATCCAATGGCCCATGAATTCTAACTTCTGCCAATTCACGACGTAGCGCGACCCCTAGCCAATGTCTTCGGCGAGTATTTGTCCTCACGCCCGACGACTTCTCACTAGAACCCCAGGTGACTACCTACCTGAATAGGGCAAGTCACTAGTGAGCATCTCGTTGATTTTCAAGTGTTGCTGCACCCTACTGGTCACGACTTCTCACTAGAACCCCAGGTGACTACCTATCTGATCGCTGTAATTACATTGCGAATATTCCGTAAGGCGTGTGTGGCAGTCAATAATTCAAATCCTTACAAATCAACTCTTGCTAGTGACTTGTTGCAAGACGGAGTTTCCTATAGTTCTATTGGGAAGTCGTGACCAGTGGGGTCCATCCAATCGGGAGTGAGGATGGATTTCCCGTCGATGGTGGTCGCGCGACAACCACGAATTGGTAGAAGTCAAAATTCATGAGCTGGAGACTGAATTGGGTCCCAGTGTCTGAACGGTGTACAAGCTAGCTTGCCTTATAACCGGAAGGTCCTGTGTTCGAACCCCACTGTGGTGGGTGTGTATTTCCCATGATGAAACATCCTGCTGTCCAGTACACCCTAGTGGGTTTTCAATGGTTCTTTAACTGATATCAATCCGTGGGCAAACTGCAAAAGAAAAGAAATCTTTAGAAATCAACTCTTGAAAATCTAGAATGGTTAACAAGACTAATTGGGCGAATCGCCTATCTGTGACTTGATAAGGTTGTCTATCGAATGTATTGATCAGTTTGAATATTAAGTCGGTATCCCACTCTGTCTGTCTCAACCTAGCAAGTATAAGGCCTTCTCTCTCTTTTCCTCATTCCTTTCATCGCGAGTGGAACATAGAGGGCTTCAACCTTTAGGCTTTGATGTTCCAGTAGCTATTTGGAACGTGGCAACTCGAACTGCTGCACTTCGGTGCCAAGTTCTATGTTGAATCCAGACAGACAGATAGACAGTTCCAGTAGCCATGATGTTGTCTTTATGGTTTTGGATTGTTTGGCTCACATCCAACCTTCCCTCTCTTTTTTCTGAGCTTAATACCCGTTCGTTATTAAACCAAACAAGGTTTAGGAATGCGTCTGTTGACCGGAAAACGAACCTGACTCATGCTTGGCATGTTCGGCAACTATCTTACCGACGCCTTCATCCAATATTCACTGAAGTTTGAAGCATGATGAAACGAACGCAGAGCCCAAATAACTCAGTCTCACTATTTCGACTGGTTACCAATACAAAGCCGTGTTTGAACTGGTTCACCCGGTACCAGGTTTTTCGTGTACCAAAGTTAAGACCAGTTTTTTGTGTATGTGCTGATGATACTGCTCAGTAGTCACTGGTTCCACACTGACTGGATATTTTTACATGAGTTTTCAAGAGGAGCCTCAAGACACCCATCCTAACCTTTTGAAAAAATAGACAGTTTCATTCTGTAGCTCAGCCACTTATGTCTCCCCTCTCCTTGTGGAGATAGCACCCTTACTTACGAAGTGTATAGTTTGATGAATTTTGACTTATTGTGGACATTTTACACACTACACATTGCGTTAGTTATCAGTTATTGATTTCCAATATTATTTTAATTGTATTTCTGATTTTTTATAGGCATAATACATGGGAACCAGCAAAAAATATATTGGACAAACGATTAATTGAATCATACGAAAGACGGTAAGTGATTCCATTTCAACATTAGAACCGTTAAACATATATATATATATATATATATAGTCTACGATAAATCTCTGAGGTTAATTGCTTGTGAAAATGTCCCTTGAACTACTTGATCCAGATATCTTTTCGACTGTAGTAATTGTATCGATATTGATCCCTAGAAAGGAGTAATCAGTGTTATGTCTGTGTGTGTCTAGTGTTTTCTGTTTTCGGTGCTGACTTGATTCTGTCAGTTAAGTTTGCCATGTGGTCATCAAGGTAGATAGATGATTCATCTAGTGGACACTGCTCACTTTGAAGGAGGTCTCGAATCATATTTCGTAAAGCTGAGTATGTTTGGAATGAGATTCACTCGTGTCAAAAGTAGGAATGGTCTGTATCGACTTCTAGTTTAAGGATATGTTGTGTAGGGTTAGATCGCAACAATGATGGGGATACTGATGAATACGTCTAGATCGCTGAAGGGACATCAAATCCATTGTGGTGATGGCTTGTATTCTGGGGATCCCGGTCGGAGAATCTGTGTCCCGGTGTACACTTCAGATTTTTTTATTCCTTCATGTTCCCAGTGGAACATACGGCTTCAAGCTAGTGACTTGAAGTTTCTAGCCCCATGCCTAACCTTCCCTCTTTACCAGTCTTATTACTGGCTTAGCGAGGTAAAGGAGTGCCTCGTTGGCCACGGATCGAACGCCGAAACCACCTGTGTGGTTGGCAAGCATTCTACCGCTGTGCCACCGATGCACCAGTACTTCAGATTAAGTCATTAAGTTGAAGGGTCTATCTCGTGTTTCAGTTCTATTGATTCTTTTGGGTCGAAATACCGAGTCTTTGGTTGATTTATATCATGGGTGAGTAGGGGTTAACGCTTCGACATGTGAAACGATGTGTGTTGACTTTGAGTCTCATTGTTAACACTCCTTAAGTACATCTTATCAAGTATATCGTGGTGATGAGTTCAAGACTGGATAAAACACATCCATTTTAGATACCAGTGTTAAACATTATCAACTAAGTTTATACAATGTTAACTCGTTGATGAACTTCCACAGACGACCTGGTACAGCCGAAGGTTGGTAGACTTAAGTCTTTCTCTCGAAATTCTTGCATTTGGACACCCTTTCACAGTGTCTGCTGGAGAAGTCATGGCGACTAGTTGTTCTCAAAATAGTGAAGGGTAGGAATCCATCAACCGGACTATTGGACATTCTAGTCTACTTAAGAAAGTGGGGAAATCCTTAATTCCAAACTTTTGATGTACAGAGGGGTTCCAGAATCCTGGATGAATGTAGAATGACGTGTATGAATTTGTTTTGGACACTGGCAACCCTGAGGACGTAGCTTCTAACGCGCTGGTCCACTGTCTTGTTGATCAGACTTCAAGTCAGCGGTTCGGAGACGGGGATGCCATCCGCGTAGTATATCCCAATCCTCTCATAAAATGAACTCATTGATATTTCTTGTTCATATTAATATCGAGTCTTCATAATAATTATATTGATTTTTCTCATTTTTCTCCTGATATCTTTTAGAGAGAAACGTAAAAAAAATCAATTAGCATCGTCATCATCCTCGACACCACGTGATAGAAGTCATAGTACAGAAAGTCAACGATCGCCTTTACATTCTCCAGAGAGACACCAACAGCAGCAGCAACAGCAACCACAACAACATGTGAAATCTGAAGAGAATTTAAATTTACACGAATCTTCATCATTGTCGCCTATTAAATCCAGTCTAGCATCAATTGATCCAATCCTTTCAACATTTCTTCCACCTAATATTAGTACTGGTAGTACCAGTTATAATTCAGACCTACCACTCATTAGTAGTAGCAGTCAATCAATAAAATCTCCACATGCCTCATCAACTACTACGTCAATTGATTCTACGCCAAGTCAATGGGAATTAAGCGAGTTATGCTATGATCGCCGTTTTCGACGGACTACGCTATTGGTTGCTGCTGCGTCGGCATCAGCTGCGAATGCAGCAGCAGCATTAGCACATTCTAGGCAATCTGGAAGACAAGCACAACACTCGAGTACAACTGGGTCGAGTACTGGTCATACAACAGCAACAACAACAACAACTCCTGCCTCTACTACTATTACTAATACTGCGAGCAATACTAATATTATTAGTACTACGGCTAGTATAGAAAATACCAATTCTGTAAGTGTTATATATACATAGATATATATATATATATTATCGATTTTTAATTCAAAAAAAGAGAAAAATCGATTTTATTGTCGTCTATGTCTTATCTTTGATATGTGAATGCTTATAATAATAATAATATAAATATTTATTATTATTTTATTCCATCAATTTTAAACTGAAGTCAGTAGAGTATTTGTTCCTTGATGCATTTTTATGAAGATCCAATAGTTAGAAGGTGAATACATTTCATAGGAATAATTTATGCCTTATTCTGTAAGCCAATTCTGTCGTTTTGTTGGCGACACGTTAACTAAATTTATACTGATTGTGTGTGTTTCAATGTAGAACATTGCACAGTTCAAGTTCACAATCTGTTGTAACATGTGAACACGTGACAGTTGGTTTGGTGGTGGATTTTAGAGATTATCAGGAGTGTGAATGACTGCATCTACGCACGATTGAGAACAATTTTGAGCCATATTACAAACACTCGTGCCGATACATCCAGTGACGAGTCCCAAATAGAACGAAATGCGCATCCTGGATTCCACTGCTATTCACCAATTAAATACATATTACCAACAGTTCTCATTCAATCAAGTAGTCTGCACCTCCCTGTATGTGTAGCTCCAATCAACCGCCCAAGATTTCATCGACTCAGACCACCCGTGACACTTTCCCAACCTAATCGTATTTGTGAAAACATTACTTGACGAAGAAGGCATGCGTAATATATGTCTTAAGCATCTCAGTCGATTTAGCTTCACGTACACACAAACACACACAATATTATCGATTGACTCCTTCCATTATCTCGCACTGAACCTGAATAGTACTGTCATGTGCTTTAGAACATGGGAAATGGAGCACAACCTTATATGATCCGAAGACAGTTAGTCTTTTGAAATCTCCTATGTACGAATAGAACCGTGTATTGTACGAGTAGTACCAGTTGTTCTTTGTTTATTTTTTTTATTGGACAGAATATGTGGTTGGTTTGTGTTCTATTCATAATTGGTTTCTTTGACAGTTCTGAAATCGACTAATGATCTAGGTTACTTATTGATTTAGTCATTTGATTTGTTTCTCAAGTTTGATCACGAATCACAGCAGTGAATTAATCACGAATTGGTAGAAATTAGAACTCATGGGTAGGCTATTGAGTCCGGGTCCCAGTGGCTGAATGGTCTACGAGCTTTCCTTGTAATCGGAAGCTCCTAGGTTCGATCCCCATCGGTTGGTGTGTACTGGCTATGAGTCTCAAAACTAGGTGGACGGAACATACTGTCTTTGACCAAGTTGATCAGTTTGACTCATAATCTGATGCATAAAAATCCTTTTTGGCGCATAACTGAATCCTAGCTAACCTTTTCCAGTAAAAAATGCACCCCCTTCTCCCATTTAGTTTATTTTGTGTTCTCATCTTTCGTATCTCTCTCTCTCTCTTTTATTTCACAGACTGTCAGTTTACAAGCACAATCAAAAATGACTAAAACAGAAGCCATAACAACACCACTTTCAGATGAAAATATCGAAGCAAGACCAAAAATCCGTTTAACAATCCCACGTGATCGAATCCTACCATGTCCACCAATCGGTGTATCGAGTAACTCGTCAGCCTCTTCAGCTAATAATACATCAATCAATAGTTCTTCGTCATCATCATCAAATCAATGTCTAGATGATTCTGATCATTCAATATCAATGACTGAGTCAACCTCTGTTCGACACGATGTTAACACCAGTGGATTATTTGTTGCCCCGGTGGAATTACCTCGACGATGTTATAATACAGCAACAGCCCTGTCACCACATTCACTAATGAATCCAACAGGTGGAATGCGTTTACCTGACATACAGATAGACAATCGTAGTCACTTGCACGATTACGAGACAAGTAAATCTCCAAAATGGAATAAACAGTCGCCGTGTACAAAATAATACTAATCATACTAGTGTTTCAAGTATGATGCAACTGCCTAAATTACTTATCTCTTCGACAAATTTATCCTCAACTTCACCATCTCCTTCATCAGCAGTACCTTATGATATTGTAATATCAGGATCATCATCAGCATCGAAGAAACGCAGACGGCAGTTTAGTTCAGAGAGTTGTCTGTCCTCTCCATCACATGCTTACAGCGTTGTTGAACATGATGTGGTGGTTAAGAAACGGAGACATTCACAAAAGAAAAAAGATAAGCGGAAACGTCGTCATGAACAAATTTCTGACTATCAAGAACAACAACATCATCATCGACATCATCGGGACCATCATCAGCATCACCAGCATCATGGAAAGAGTGGATACGCTTCATCTTTTGAAGAGTATAACACTTTAAGTATGAATAAGATTCGTCGACGGAGCGGTTCCTCATCAGCATCGCATACCTCATCTACCTCATCATCCTCCTGCTCCTCTTCCTCTGCGTCCTCTTCATCGACATCGTCTTTATCACCGACAATTCTATCGAATACAATATCACCTCCTAATCAAGAGGAAGGATTTCCTCGACTAGCCCCACTACGTATCCATTTACCTAGATCAATTACTTCACAGTTATCTGCATCAGAGTCTTGTATAGATAATCAATCATTTATCGATCATACAACTAGTGGTGGGGTTGGTCAACGAATAGCATCTTGTGGAATGAATTACAGGAGTACTTATACTACTAATAATAATGGTAATAGTAATAATAGTGTTGTAATTGATCATAATGCCAATACAAGTCATATCCAGATAAATCATTCCACAAAACGAATCCATTTAGTTCCAGAAATGTGTATTACAGATATTACAGTGAATGGTTTAACGATAAGTATTAAAGAATGCAGTGGACCTAGAAATTTCTTTGGGATACCAACTAGTCAAGTTGTTCAATATAACTCACCTTCATCCTCCGCGTCGATAAAGAAGTCTGGAGATACTTCTATCGGTGATGAGTATACCACACCAACTACTACTACAACGACAACTAGTAGTACTTCAACAACCACGACGACAACAACGAGTTCGTCAGCTGCCTCCGCTGGTGCTTCTGGTGCTGCTGCTTCCACGTTGAATAGCACGACTTCATCATCGTCGACAAATACAACCAGTACACCGCCGACAACAAATAATAATACGCATTCATCTACTACACGTACTGTTAAACCATTATGTGTTGTTAGTTTAAAAGAGCAGAATGTTTTAACGACGTCGATATTGTCACACACCACCACCACCACCAGCGTCGACAAAGTTAGAATCCTCTGGAGTTTATCAAACACCACCACTGACTGATAGTGTGATATCCATTCCAAAAGATAACGAAGTTGATGATCGTGATGGTGATGTGGTTGACGAAAATCACGTAAAAAAAAACTCACTGGAACAGTATGGTGATGAAAATATTGCTCCCAGTGTCATCGATGAAGAGATATCAAGTCATCAATCATCGAATCGGCGGTCTTCAACTGCCTGTTCCTATGTCAACATCATCGACATCGTTATATCCTCCACCTTCATCTCCGTCAACTACTACACCATCAATCGTCATTATTACGTCATCCTCATCTGATTCAGATAATCATCAAACTCATCGATTGAGTACAATTTATGAAGATACAGAACCTTCTTCTTCATTAAAATCTGAAAAAGAAGAAACTCTTGTTGAATCTCCAATTAAAACTGAAAGTGTAGTAACATCTACACCCCCACCCCCACCACCACAACAACAACCAGAGATTACGTCATCAACAACACTTATCTGTCCTACAATTGATACTAATCTCGCGAATAATTCACATTCAACATCTTCTCTTCTATTTGCTGCAACTGAAGCAGCTACAAAAAGTGCATTAGACTCACCATGTTCCCCTGGTCTATTAATATTTCCCCCACCAAGACGTTCATCTACACCGATAGAACATAGTCCAGCTTATATAAATCAATCTTTAATGATAAATAATACTAATCCTTTAGAAATCGATAAATCAATAAATCATCTTGTATCATCATCATCGGATAATTTGACTACTACTACTACTATTACTATTAGTGGTGATAATGGTACTGTCATTAAATCGATAACTAAATCAATGCCAAGTACAGAGTTGTGTGTTGCTAATTTCAATCGTAAACATTTAAATTCAAAGTCAACAACAACAACATCAACGATTACATCACCATCTTCATCATCATCATCACCATCAACTCGACCTATGGCAACTATATTTGGACAAGTGCGTAATCGTAACACCACCACCACAACTACCAGTGTCTTGATGAATAATAATACCTCAGAGACTGGATCTACGCGTAAATCAACTGGGAAGTCAAAACATTCCACTATGCCATCGACAGTATCGAATATTTGGAGTAATTCCACTACTACTTCTACTATTACCACTTCTACTACTATGGATACCTTGAAGGATGCATCTTTAAAGCCTATTGGTCGGATAAATGCTTCACACTATGATGATAATAGTATTGATCGTAATAACAATAATAATAGTAGTAAGAAATGTAGTGATCCAAGTAAAATTTATACTTTCACAGGTGAATCCTCGCCGACATATAATCTAGCTAGCTGTTGTGGTGATGATGATGATAACGCTTCATCATCACCGTTATCATTGACATCATCTCCACGAAATACCTGTCCCTTCCCTTCTTCCTCTTCTTCTACTACTACATGTTCTGATCTAAAGCATACCAATGTCAATAGTTCAAAGATATCACGATCAAGTAAACATAATCATCATAATTCTGGATATCGTAATCATGATTCCTTGAAATGTTCAATATCATCATCTACACCAACTCCCCCGCCACCCTTACCACCACTAACACAACCAGCATCCTCCTTCCCGTTATCATTTCCAACCTCTTACATCAATAATAAAACACTCCAACAATCCTATTTAAATATGCCTACACTTCTACCGTCTGATGATATGTTGTATTTAATGAATAAACAAGGTTGTTGTAATGTTGGAGACAATGAAATGACGACAACAACAACAATGATACCGACGAGTCTCAGTACTTCTACTCCGAATAGTTTCAATTACTTGCCAAACAGTATTGCCAATAACAATGTTGGTCAGTGTAATACAGAGGCTGCATTGGCAGCGGCTACATGTCTACAACAATTACAAATGCAATTTATGTGTAGTGCAAATCCATTAGCTATGGCAGCAGCATTATCTGCACTGAGTGGTGGTGGTGGCGGTGCCGGTGCCGGCGGTGGATTCCCAACAAATCCCCCTTTCCTCCCACCAAATATGAATTGTCCACCAGTTCGGTTTAATTTCAATTCTGATATGAATACAAACACTCCGTGTAGTAACAGTAGTAGTACCAGTGTGGGGGGTAGTGGGAATCCTGCAAACTTTGATTGGTCAACATCGACTCCTTTCTTTCCGAATTCAATCGATTCAAATTTGCCAATGGTATTTCCGAATGAATCGAATTTCCTACCGCCTAATCCATCATACTCTACAGGTGTAAATAATAATAGTAATAATAATAATAATTCAACGCTTGGACAATTCCATCCTATGGATGGATATGGTATGATGCTGATGATGAATGCTTTGAAGCCTAGTGTTGTTACGTCATTGGCAGGAGGTGCTGCTGCTGCTGCTGTCATACCCGGAAGATGTGACTATTACCCTGTAGATAATTGTTGTGTGCATACTGTTGGGGATACAGTTGGATTAGTCTCGGAATCTTCTGATCTCCCAATTGATTTATCTGCAAAACGGTGATACTCGGTCGAAGGGTGGGTGGGAGTGTTCTGTTGTTTGACGTGTAAGGGTGTTTGTGCGTGTGCGTGTATGTATTACTACCAAGTGCTTTCATTGTATATATATTATAACATACTTACATACATACAAACACATTAATTCCAATTTGTAAGGTGCTCATGATTCCATATTTGAGATTCATTTTATATTTATTTATATATACATATTTATGAGGACATATATATACCATATTTCATCGATTTTTATCGATTTTTCTTTTCTAGTTACCTATTATCGTGGTTTCCTTCGTGTGTGTTTTTGTCTCTTGTAAATACTTCTCTTTTATTGATCCCCTTGTACCTTATTATATGCACACATCCATATCTCCTCCTCTATCGTAGTATTGTTTCACGTCAATATCATGACTACTGGTTGTAGTAAATTTATCGACGTGATAAGATGAGATGATACACCTCACATCACATTTATTCGTCTATTTTCCATTTCTTTCTTTTATTCTTTCAATCACTCACCTAATTTATTGATTTTTTTATTTCGAATTTGGTCTTTATAAGTTGCTATCAAACTTTTCTTTGTCGATATTTTCATTTTCATTTACTTCTTCAGTTTCTGTCTCTCTCTCCCAGACACACATACACACGAACATATACAGAGTATTTGCACATATTTATTACGTAACCATTACTATTATTCTTTATAAAGATAGTATAAAAATACATCTGCCATATTTATACATATATATATTGATATTGTATTGTATTGTATTGTATTGTATTGATTTAAGTAAGAATTGAAATAAAGAACAAAGAGTACTATCTATTGATCAATTTATCGATTTTTATAATAGTGTATATTTAGTTATTCATGTCTGTTTTGTGTATAGTTAGTTACGCTGAAGCGAGAGAGAGAGAGAGAGGCGGGGGGGGTATGATATACGTCATTGTCAAGATGGTTAGAAGCATGACTGTTACAGAATTGGAGTTGATCTACTCTGCATAAATGCCTGGATCTTTTATAATCATGCTAAGCATGTATGACGATCAAGTTCTCAAAGCTTTTAGTGTAGTAGACAGTTGTCGGTTGTGCGTGATCGCTTGTGAACTCTGATACCCAGGATATATGAAATCCCCAAGGGACAAATATCACTACTAGTGAAATACACAGTTATGAGGATTGCCAAATAAATAACCGGGACTTGACTTCTTGTCAATTGCTTAAAAAAAACAATTTCACATAAATACCTCACTATATCGATTTAAATAACAAAAATCGATTGTAATCTGATCTTAGAGACAGTCGTTCTGCATCTAACAGCATTTAATGTGTATTGCATTGGATGGACCCTGAGGGTTGAAAGATAGCGATAGGATTGCAGCGATGCTGTTGAAGAGGTCTTCGAGACTTATTACGAACAATCCCTTTTGTGACACGTCGGGTGGAATTACCTTCCCTCGAGTGATATGCAGTGTAATCATTCGGAAGGGTGGGTGCGAGGTAGGGGACTTACTGGCATGTCTTTTGAGGCGAGTTTGACTATCAGACGTTGCAAATGATATTTCATGATTGTGAATGTGTGTGTGTGTTCTCTTAATTCAGATTGTTGTTAAGCATCGGTAGCAATGATGATTATCGATGGAACTCTCTCCAACTTCAACATTTGTATATGTTGTGGTTAGTGAAACTTACCCAGTGTTGCAAATTTCATGACTTATTGAGCTTTAACCTAGTTGCCCCACTCCATGTAACGTACAAAAGCAGAATAATAGAGAGATTCAAAAGAATATTTTTGATTGAACACTAGTCAGTTAGTAACTAGTGTAATGTGCCTGTCTAGTCCTTGGTATTTGGTGCAAACTGAATTCTATGAGTCAGTCACGTGTACAATGTGGCCACCAGAGCACTAGGTAGGTCACCATCAAGGGTGCATATTGATTTGATGATATTAGATGGTTGGAGGCAATCGGCCGCAGGAAGCCTCGCTTCACCTGGGTTTTGTGCTAGTTGCCACTCACCAGTCAGTCAGTAAGGCGTATTTGCATTCTTGAAGGAACACTAAATAATATGGAGTGTCCAATCAAGGTATCCAATGCAGTTAGTGATAAATAAGGTGAATATAAAGTTCACGAATACCTCAGGGGTTACATCTATAACCTCATTACTGGATGATGCGAGTTCGAAAGTCAGAAGAAACAAGATTTCCTTGATGGTTGTATATACACCTCGGTGAAAAAAGCCAACAAGTACGAAATCGAAGTCGAGGTCTTCCTGTCGATCGCCTCCAACCATCTAATATCCAAAATTCACAGTTTAGTGTATCGTGATTGCAAGCCACCTAGTAGCATGGTGGCCATATTGCAAACATGGCTGACTGATAGGACTCAGTCGGCACATGACACTAGTTACTAAGTGACTAGCATCCAATCAAGAGTTTTCAGCACACTCCTACAGGAGGTCAATCGCGAGCCCGAATACCATTAAGCCACTGGGACCCAAAAGGGCATTGGTGGCACAGAGGTAGAATGCTCGCCGACCACGCCTCATGTAGTTCGGGGTCCGATCACCGACCGACACCGCACTTCTTTTCCTCGCTAAGCCCAAAAATAAGACTGGTAAAGAGGAAAGGTTGGGTGTGAGGCTAGCAACCCCATCCTGTAAAAATAAACACTGCTGCAGCCGGAACTTCAAGCTTCTGTCTTGAAGCCCTGTGTTCCACTGAGAAGTAAAGAAATTATATATATATATATATATATATATATATATATATATATATATATATGACTTAAATAGTTAATAAGATCCACACGTTTGTCTGACGGATATAAATTTTACTGCATAATTTCAGCTAAATGCGTTGTGTTAGTGAATTACCTTCATTGTTCACTCAAGTCTAATCTAACAGACGACGTTTTGATGTCTGAAATGATGAAGGAGTTTTATCCGTTCAATTAGAATACCATTATCACTCACTAACTCACTCACTAGGTGATGAAAGCCCCCCCCCACCCGGCCAGCTGATAAACCCTTAAATAGTATGAAACTTGCCTTCCACCTACTGAGTCTCCTAAACACAAATAACTTCAATGGTTGGTTTTTAAGGATTAGATTTGTATTTACGAGTTGATCACATACTGATATCAGTTAGAGAACCATTGAAAACCCACCAGGTACTCATCAGCAGTTCGAATCCACCATTGGGATTGGAATCCAGGAGCTGCCAGTTACAAGGCTAGCAAGCTCGTAGACCATTTAGCTACTGGGAGACCCAATTCAATGGCCAAAGCATGTATTCTAATTTCTACCATAATTCCTGATACATTTAGAGCGACCACTGAAAAAACCAGGGAGCACTGGACAGTTAGCTGTTTCATCCTTCCTCTTTGGGAATCATCGGTAGGTAGTACGCACCCACCGCCACGGTTCGAACCCTAAAATAACTTCAAATTATCATACCTACCATGCATAAACAAGAATGATGAGATAATGGGTTATTAAAGCGTCACTACTATATATTAAAATGAAAATGGAACTCTCATATCAGTTAGCGGTCAATTTAAAATTGTAACATATTCTTATTTATCGATCATATTGATTCGGAGAGAAGACTGTTCTCACATACATTTATGTGTCTAAATATTTGCCGTCTTATGTAATTGTATATATATTTATTCATAATCGCTGGGTGAATAGACATCATTGTGTGATCACAGGTCAGAATGGTTGTAAGGCTCTCTCTCTCTCTGTTTCTAACCTTGAAATCACATGACACGCCTAGATCAATAATTTTTAATCGATATTAGTATCATCATCATCATCATTGTTATTTTAAATCTTGTTAGGCTGCGTTGTGATGTGATTATTCACGTAATTATTAGAATCGTCAGAGCATGTGAGTACTATTAAGCCTTAAAATAGCCTAACAATTTGAAGTTAGGGTGTTAAAAATACAAAAATGCATGCATGCATTGTTGGTCTTTTTAAGTGAATCTGCATGGGTCTGTATGTGTTGTGTGTGTGTATGTAAGTTGAGCTGTGTGTTGATATACAATTGCAAATGTGACCTTAACAACAAAGGTACACATTTTGACCAGTGTGAAATATGCCTTGTCTTTCACACGTTTTATATATATGTGCATCGCAAACGGAGTAATGAATTTTTGTGACTCTCCTGGGGGTATTAGACCACTGGAGGCAATTGGCACAAAGACGAAATGGAATCCCTTGAACCCATTAGTGTTGAAGACAGACAATAAATAACTTGTTACAATGTTATAATGTGAATTGAAATACATTTTTAAGATTATTTATTATCCTCCTCTGATTTGACTGACTGGTGGTAATAATATCTTCCATATCTCTGGTATTTGCGTGTTGTGTTGGGTGCGTAGACTCGATGAACCAGGCAACATTCAGTAATCAATCTCTCTCTCTACACCTATCTATATTACCTTTCAGAAATGCTGACTCTGTCCCACACACGCTATTGTGTGGTTGTGTGCATGCAGTGTAGTTGCTGAGTTTCTTTTGAAATTACTCATCTGTCTTCGTGGGATCAACCATTCTCACCAGAGCCAAATTCTTATGTTCTGACAGGCAATCTGACTATCCCCGACCTACTAGTTTGACCTATGTAGTTGACCTAACTCACAGTAATTGCAAGGTATTTTGTAAATTATATTATTTTGTTTAATTGGGTCCACCGGGTCTTTTAGCCTACAGAGCTTATCCTACCTGAGTGAGTTTTTAGGCTTTAATACCACCCTAATTCCTGCTTTATTGCGAATCCGACTTATGGGGGGTCTCAGATGTCCCCTCCTTATGTGGTAAAACTGTAGATGTCTTATATTCTCTTTTATTTATGTTATCATTATTAGTTTCGCCATTATTTTTATTCTGCTTTTGACCTTTTCTCATCTTCCTAATGAATTTTATAGGATAGTTAGTTATTTAATACCAACGCCTCTTCTATCTGTTCTATTTCATCATTTAGGTCTTTTTTCGTA